AAAAGTGGGAAACAATTGGCAATAAGTGTCCAAACGTGTCTGTGCAACCATGTCTAACACCAATGGGACAGCCTGAGCCCAGGACAGCGTCGGTGCTTCTTAGATCAATTTAAATCACAAGCAAAGATCAAGAGAAATACCCATAACAACGGAATGTACATGTCACAAGTAGCAGAAAGTTTGTGTAATTTTGAAAGTTTTCTGATGTGGATGTTACCGTCAAACCGTTTGTTAAACAACCTTCTAGCATTACCCTGTGAAAAAATCAAAGAACATTATATGGTTGAGCTGGACCAAATATTGGAAAAAAACTAAAATCGTAATCTTCACCAATTTAACTCCAATAGATCAGGGGAAACTAGCTTTCCCACTGGTAGTCAATTCTTTAAGTCTGCATCCCTATATATCCGAAATTAAATAATATCTTTCAAACAATGACAGAAATATCTTCAAAGACCCATATTCCCATTTTCTCCATATATTTCTTCTATGTTATAAGGATTTTATTATTAGCAATTGCAGAGAACGGATGCAAACCACGGACAAACTAAATTACTGACAATCTTCTTCCACTATACATAATAATTTCACGTCTAAACTGATTATTAATAGAGTATCATTTTTCCCTCGCACAAAAATTCATGGCCTGTCCAATTTTCTCCATTTCCTTGCACATGGTTGGAGTTGAAATTGTGTACTCTAAGAGTTCACTAATTCTGTAGAGAAAGCTAAAATTGAAATTTGTGAAGCCCAATGAAATGATGTAATACCAAAATATATTGCAAGTTCTCTCTGAAGTGAATGGCATGAAACCTTCTCTTTTACAAACAAAACTCTGTAAAACTTGCCATATATTTGCCTACCTATATCCACTAAGAGAAGCCCAAACAACTGAACCCAATTTACACTTTACAGACGACCATTACTGTAGCAGGTACAATTCCAAATCAATGAAAAGGGGACCGATTTATAAGTGAAAAGATCACTCCCACTAGGTATGAGGCCTTTTGGGTGAAAGCCCAAGAATAAAACTAAGCGGGCTATAGGCCGAAGAGGACAATGTCATACCAAGTGAATTGGGATTTTACTAATGGTTTCAGAGGCTACCCCCCTCCCCCCCCCTCCCCCCCGAAGTACGGCCAAAGAGTATGTTGAAGCCCATAAGGTGGGATGATTGCTAGGAGAAGGAAAATGAGACTTTTTCTAACTGAAAGGACCAATCCCAATTGGTATAAGGCAATTTGGATGAAAGTCCAAGAACAAAACTGCACGAACTAGGTCTAAAGCAAATGCTATCATACCAAGTGGACTAGTATGTTACCATTAAAATATAGGAAAAATTGCAGTCGAGGTATCAAACCTTTCGTTTATTAGCAGACTTTGCCCAAACATTTAGTTTGTGCCACCCACAGTCCCAAACCTTTCAAAAATATGCACCGGGGGTTCAAATGGATAGAAATCATCCTTTTGACCGTTAGTTAACTAGAAAAGTCAAAATTTGACCAATTTGGATCAAATTAAAAAGGGCAGAGTGGTACTTTACATTTTTTCTTAATATTAATAATTAAAATAATTAATAATAACAATAGAAAAATAAAAACAAAATAAATAAAAATCAAAGAAAAGAAAGGAAATACTGTTCATCTTCATCTTCATCCCAATTTTCCCTAAAATATAAAAGGATAAGCCAACAATGTCCTTGGAAGATAAAATCACCTACCATATACATCTGGATCAAGTAACTAACGATTGCAAATAACATAAAAGGCAAAAACAAGAGAAACATCTATGGATCATAATAATATGTCTCCAATGAACATTAGAGCATTCTGGAAATGATGGATTTAAATACAGAAAAATGGATATAGAAAAAATCAAAGTGAGGAAGAGAAGGACAACAAAATGAAATCCCAATATTTTACCATTACCATAATCAATGAAAACTCATTTTCTGTAGCATAAAAAAAACCTCAAGTTCAAGGAAAAAGACAGTTCGTTGTGATTCTTATCAGAAGCGTACTACAATTTCATATGACAGTCCAGCAATCACTGCCTGAATTACTATTCAAAATTCTAGGTGTAGATACTAAGCATTAAAACCAAGCAAAAATCAATTTAAAAATTGTATATTCACCATTAAGATGATTTATATTTTGTAATGTACTTAGTAATAGTAAAATATAATTCAGCGCATGATATAACAGAAGCATCAGTAGCCCATGGTTTAAGAGAACTTAATATTCAAGTGATATAACAGAACTCAATATTCAAGTGACCCATCAAAAGCGTATGATCTAGAAAACATTGAAGTCGTAAGTAGATCCACGAACTTATCCAAAGCAGACCAAGATCAGAGTGGAAGGACACATAACAAATTTCCGATATCAATTGACAAATTGAAAATAAACAATATCGTTGAATCACTTGATCTTTGATCTAAAAGATGTTAGGCCATATTTACATTATTTAAAGATTATCTTCAATTTGAGCTATTAGACAGGTTCACGTATATATAATTTAAATATTGACTTCAACAAATATTATTAAAAACAATTTTCACCATGTAACACGTGTTGTCTTCAATTAAAGAGTGATAGGTTCACAGCACATAAAAAAAGTTTACAATTGACAAGTACCAGTGGAAAGGGCTTCTTCCATCGTTATCAGGAACATCAGGATCCACATTCCATTTTGTAACGATATGATAAAGAAAAGCTGTCTGACCATATTGAGCAGCAACATGTGCTTTCTTCAATTAAAGAGTGATAACACGCACAAAAAGACAAGTTTTAATTAACACACCAATTGAAAAAGCATTGATTCATATTGACCAAAGCTTAATATGCATTTCAGAGAAAGATAATATCCAAGAAGACGGGAACAAAGTCAGGCCCCATAATGAAGTGCGACCCACTTGGGCAAGAGCCAGGCTAAACTAACAAGATCTATTCTTGTATGCAAAGCCACTATGACCTGAATAATTATGTTGGTATCTTTGTGTGTGCAGTTTATGTTGGTATCTTTATGTGTGCAGTGTCCGTTGGAACATGCAAATGACCATTAGAGATATGCAAATTGATATTGAAAAACGAGTACATCACTATTCTAAATCCTGAGTAGCTTACATGTTCAAATCGTTAACCAGTATTGTTGGGCTGTGATGCCATTTGATCCAGTCCAACTGTTAGGCAATGATGAAAAGGCCCAAAAAAGGATTTAATACTTGGTCCATTTTATATATACCTAGAAGGCCCACTTAACCGAGCCCAATATCCAGCCCACACACCGTTAGTCGCTCTTGGACCGTTGGATTGACCTGCTGATCAACGGTTGATGATATTTACTATAAATATTCTAAACCAGAAAGCAATTAGTTAAAGGGAAAATCACATCATAAAAAAGAACCATCATTATACACACTTGTTGTCGTGAGTTGTTAGAAACCATAACACAGGGGCATACACCGTGTTTAGTGTTCTGACACATTTCTGTAAGGATTTTTAATCCATCGATGGGCTTATATGTGTGAATAATTGTGTGTTAAATTAAAGGCTATCAAATTCGGTTCAATCCAATTAAAGTGATCTAATAAGGTTTCGATTTTGGGCTTTAATGTATTCAATTAAAGTATGAGTTTATAAATATGTAGAGACCGGGCCTAAATTCTAATTCTATGATGAACCGAATTAGGTTAAAGGGCGTCGCTATATAAATACGATTATGGTCCCCAGATTACACGTATGTATTATTCATTCTCTTCTGCATCTCATCACAGAGAGAAAAAAAGAGAGTGCGTGTAGATTTAAAAGACAATCGCGAAATTCATTATTGCATTAACCATATCTGATTCAAGTACGCTTCTGTCATAATTTATGTATTTCTTGATAATTTAACATAAAAGATCCGGTAATTTAAAGCATTGAATTATTCTACAAGTGGTATCAGAGCCTTTTCATGTTGAATCATTGAGAATCAAATAATTTATTTGGTTCTTGCAATATTTTATGAAGTTTTCAGATTTGACAGTTTTAGATTTAGTTTTGTTGAATTTGAAAACTATTCAGTATATTTTTCGTTATTATCTTTCATTATTCGGATTAATAGAGGAAGAAAATTCCAGATTGTGGATTTTTTTTATTTTTTGCCTTTTTGGTTTTGATTCAGATTTAGAAATACAGATTTTAGTACAGATTAAAAAAAAAGAGATTGCATGTAAATTTGAAAGACAAAACCGCGAAATTCATTATTGCATTAACTATGTCTGATTTAGGTACGCTTCCGCCATAATTTATGTATTTTTTGATGATTTAACATGAAAGATCCGATGATTTAAAGCATTAAATTATCCTACAATTTCTACAAAGCATATTTTCTTCAAGAATAAGAATTTCAATGCAGCAATTTATTTGATTTGTAATGTTTTAGAAAATGTTATATTCCATGAAGACAACGAATGTCCCTAATATTCTCTATCGTCCTCGTATTTTGTACCTCTATGTGAATCCAAAACAAACCTGATAGCCATATATATCGGCAATATTGACCCCGAGCACCTTCTTGCAGTAAAAGCTCAGCCCCTTACGGCGCTCCAATGCAGAGCTGTTTGCCCCATATGATTTGCCACATTAACATCACCCCATGCTATCGATCATACATCACCAAATAAACAAATAGTGAAAACAATTTACAAGGGAGATTTGTCTCCACCACATATCAAATAAAGACTAGCTTGACAACTTATAGCTTTTTATGTGTGTAACGAAAATAACGAGAAGTAGTTTTGACGCTACCAACAATTGAACCTGTCAATTTCCAAACTTCATGACTAAGAATGAGCACGGACAAGATCTTTCGGTACTTGAAACAAAGGCGTTGAAGTGTGTCCTCGTCACTCCTCCAATGCTTATGTTAGAGAAGGAATTTATGCATGGAACTATAAATTGAAAAATTATGTAAAAACATACTCGAATAATGAATTGAAAGTCTATATTTATGGAGGTGGATATTGAACTCCTAGGACTAAATTAGTTGAATATCCTTATTTCAAAGAGTCCTACTCGAGAGGAGTGTTGGACTTATACTATAATTGCAAGGCCAATCATAATTTAATGGTAATATTGTTGAGATAGAGTGGTATAGGATTCTTAGGTTGAGATGTTTGGATGAGAATAGAGTCCTTAGATAGTAGGATCCTTTTTGGGTTTAAGCAAGAAGGTCTTTGAAATTAAGTAAAGAAAAATGCTCGATGATCCATGTGCCTTAGGTGGTGAAACAGTATCCCGAGTACTTATTTTGAGGATGTCGCCACCCAAATATTGTGGAAGTGAGATATTAGTCCTTGGGCATTATCCCGAGGACACCATCATACCGAAGGACTCCATGACTAATTTATGTTGAGCCAGCATATATAAGTCCTCGGGTAGAACTCCTCGGGAGTTATGCCAATAATGGCCATATCAAGGTCAAATGTTCTTTTAAGTCCAATAATTCCATCCTTTACATTGTTTTATGTAAATCTTTTAGAGTTGATATTGGCATATGCAAGCAACTAAATTGAATCTAATCTCAATTCCAAGTAAATTAACTGTGCCAACTCCTACTCGCCGTTAACACTCATCATATGCAATTGTGTTTCATAGAGTCATGTCTTGGAATGTTGAGTCTTTGCAAAAAATTTCGTCTAACAATTTTCTTGTGCAGTTCAGCATAGCCGACTATAACATATACGAAATTATATACACATTCATCAAGAAACAAAATACGAGAACTTGAGAACCCGGTGTACCATTACTAACTGAATATTAGATTCAAAAATGTTTGTGATACATATAAGAATAGATATAAAGCTCGCATACTGCAATTATGTATTGCAAAGCAGCGATACGGCTGTTAAGTGCGGCCCATTAGAGGGCATAGTAGCCATGGCCATCGAGCTCCGAGACAAAGTAGCCCTGGCTCTCTACTAGCCGCTGCAGCTTCTCCATGTCCCTGTAAGCCACAGCGGTGTACACGTCGTTCTTCAAGCTCTCATTTTCCATTGCTGCCTTAGCTCCGCCACAGCAACATTGATCATTGGATTTCATCTCCACCTCTTCGATCTCCAACGCCATATATTAAATATTATGACATGGGACTATGCCATTATTAATCCGAAAAGCTATTGAGAAAACTTTAGATAAAAAATGCATCTTTGTGTATCGATGCTATATCCAGTGTGAATTTTTCTTTCTCGTTTAGAACAAAAAAATTTGCATGAATTTCTCTAAACAGACAGGAAGAAAGACTCAAAAAAACAAGCTGATGTGTCAAGAAATTGTTGGCTGTTTCTATGGCATTTCTCAATTTGCATATTAATGTCAGGCCCCCCCTCCGCGACAATTAGGAGAATTATTTTAGAACATAAAGGTTGTACAGGTCGCAATGATTATAAGCCTTTATTTGAGCCCCATATTTTGAAAAAAAAAAATTGTTCTTAAACAGTGTTTTCACCTATTTCAATCACACATTCTTTAATAAAATAATATTACACGTAAATTTAAATTTTTTTTATTTTTTAATCACACATTTCATATCAATACACTATTCAAAAAATACATTTTTTCTCCCAAAATGGGACTCAAACAATGGCTAAAATTTCTTCAATTTCCATTTTCAATTACTTTCCTAGAAGCTTATATTATTATTTGTTGTTTAAGAAACAAAAAAAATAAAATAAATAAATAATTTATTTACAAAAAATTATAGTAGATAAATAACAAATAAATAATGAGAATAATACACAAGCGAAGAAAAGATTCTCACTCGCGTCTGTGAGCAAGTACTATCACGGCCGTCAGAAACAAATCTCTGATGGTTTCCGTCTCTGAAAACCTGCCATTTATGCGGTTTACACATCACTCTCCATGAAGCGCGTGAAAAAACAATTCTAATCTGATACTATATCCTAAGCACCCCAGATTCCAAGAGTTTTACGCCTATTACATTTTAGTCCCTTCAAAATGTCAAAATTTTATTTCACACCCCACAAAACCCTAGAGTTTTACCGCAGTAGAAATTTTCTTTCCTTCTCATTATTCCTTAGGACACACTCTAAACGGCTAAATCAACCCTAACCCAGAATCCCCGCCTCTCTCTGAGCCCTTCTAGTGTTTCTCTCTAAAGCCCCTTTTTCCTTATAATTTTTGCTCTCTTTTTTCTTTTCTTTTTTAGTATATTTAAGGAAATTTTGTGTTTGGGAAAAATGGAGGTGGGTAAATTTAGCTATTGTTCTTTGAGGAAGCAGCTAATGGCGTGTTCAATTGTGGAAGTTGCAGTAGTGTCCCTTTTGGCTGCTCAAAAGTCTCTTGCTTGCCTTCTCATGCTGGTATAATTTCTTGAACTTGGATGTTTTTTATTTTCTAATGCAAAGACTTGATTTTTATGATATGGTTTTTTCAAATTTGCTCTAGTTTTGACTTTTGGCAACTGGAATGCTCTTTTTTTTTTCTTTTTTTTTTTAATTTTATTTTATGGGTGGATGAATTTTGCTTCTTGACTTTCTATTGCACCTTCATCTGTGAGTTTAGTTGTCACACTGGGAGGAAGTATAAAATTTTCTAAAACAGTACAGGTTTTTCCTTAATCATTCTTTTTCTTGGGGTTTTTAGTACCTTTATTTAATATAAAATGAATTTTTGATATTAGAATAAATTTTGAGAATCTTGCTTATATTCTGCTAATTCTTTCATGGTTTGAACAAAACCTTGAGCTTCAATTACACACGAGAAATGAGAGTGAAAGTAAATAAAACCGAATATTGAAACTAAAGATTCATTTTTTTTCCATATTATAATTATTGTTTTTCTCCGCTAGTATGCTATTATGTACTCATTGGTTTCATAATCTCAAATGATTGCATTGTTGTAGGCTTAAATGAGCTGCTGTTCAAAAAATTTCTAAGTTCAATTTCATGTCATTGTTCTGTTTTTTGTAAATGACATTTCTCTGGGAACTTATTTTGTGTTACGAACTGGCAACTGGGTAAAGTTAAGGTTTAAAGGTGTGAGAAACCAAAAAAGATGAAAATCAATGATGAATTAGGAGATACTGAAACAAGGAAACGTAGAAACAGGAAGTTCAAGGAGCATGAATGAATTTATGGAAGAGTCCGAACAGATGTGGTTTCACAAGAAAATGTTAAATATAGTGAAATTTGGAAGCTATTTTAGTGTTGTTCTATGTGAAGATGATTCAAGTACTTGGTGCACTAACTTTGAAAATCTGTTTTGCCATTTTTTTTGGTACCTGTGTTTCGATCTAACGGCTTATTTTTTTACCATTTCACCTTCACCTTCTCTCTGGAAGAGTGGTAGTGAAGGTTTTGTATTGAGCTTTGGATAAAAACATGTCAATATGTTGGATTGAGTCAGTTTTTACCTCCAAAAACTTCTCATCTTATTCGCCTTTTGGTACCTTCATTTTAATATATTATTGAGAAGCACTTATCCATTCCCATGGCTGGCCCTTGCAGTTGATATCAGGACTTTCTGTTTCTTCCTTTTTTTCTGATTATGAATTCGTCCCTGTTTAAATATATTAAATGATGAATCACTCGAAGTTAAGCAACTCAGCGTGGTTTGTGAAAGCTTAAACTTCTGTTTTACATTCTAGAAGTTTTTAGATTTACTTCGAACTCTAAGTTCAGAGCCCTCTGTCGCATCATTTACTGGGCAAATAGCATATGGCATTGAGCAATTTCTGCTTGCACTACAATTTCTGCAAGTTATTTGATTGTTTATATTGTTCTCATGTCACTCTGTTCCATAGGACTGATGCTTAAATAATTAATGAAACATTTGATAATTGTGTTATTGAACATTTATATTGCTGCTTAAATTTCCTTAACAATACAAACTATGTTTACAGACAGGAACTCTGTTGAATGATATTGACGGGCTGCCAAACTTGGTTGAGAAAAGGTAATTACAATTTTCAGGACAGACCTCTAATTTATTGGAAACATGGCTTATTTTGTTGTTGTATAGCTTGAACATGGGTGATGGGATTAACAAGCCAAATCGTGTTTCTAACAAACTTGGGGTGAGTTGCATGAATTATTTTCTCTGCTTCATTTGATTCAGCTATACATCTGCTGAAAGGTTCAATGAAATGAAATACTTTGCAACTACACAAGGACAAGTTAATTTCGGTCTACGTTTCTCGTCTAACCCATTCTACTTGCGTTGCTCTTTTGAGCATGAGTTGCTTAAAATCTTCACAAGACATGCACTATTTGAGTACTTGTTCTCTTGATCTGTGCTTCCCTGGTTTCACCTCCATCCATTCATGTATATTCTCATTTGTTACTTTATCCATTCTAGAATTGCAGCACTTACTTCTTAGTACCACCATCATTTTGGTTACATTTATCATACGGGCATATATTTGTTAGTTGCCAAATACGATTAAGAATATGTGGATTGCAAATTTTTGTAGAAATTTTAGTTTGATTCGTTAGCTATCTGAAATCACATGCAGCAATAACACTTATTTACTACGTTTAATTTGCTCAAATTATATGCTATATATTGTATTCAATCACTACTTCCTTATGAAATGAAATGAAATTGTAAAAACTTAATCATTTAGCTGAATCAAAAAATATTGAGGCTAAGATTTAGCTAGTTTTGTTGTTGCACGGTGTGTACAAGGAAATTGTGGAATGAATGAAATTGCAAACATCTACAGGTTTCCCATGGATGATCTTCATAGATTGGAAAAGCCTGGACTTGAGAACAACGATGCCGGTGATCCAGAGGACAACGATGAAGGTGAAGACGAAGATGATGATCAGGATGATGATGATGCTGGCGATGAAGACTTTTCAGGGGGTGAAGAAGGGGGAGATGATGAAGAAGAAGTGGATCCTGAGGATGATCCCGAGGCTAATGGCAACGAAGGCAGTGATGATGAGGACGATGATGACGACGATGATGGTGATGACGACGAGGATGGTGAGGATGATGAGGAAGAAGAGGAGGAAGAGGAGGATCAACCACCAGCTAAGAAGAGGAAGTGAATAGTTTGTAGACGTTAATTCTGCGCCACTCTTGGTTGGGTGTATTTAAAAGTAGAAGGGAGGTTTAGCTTGTTTGTCTTCATAGAGTAGGAAAGTGATAGCCATGATTAGAATGAACCGCTTATCATTATGTGACTTTTTTTATGTTCCCTCTTGTGGATTGACTGGGTATCCTGGATCTTTATTGGTTGTACTATTTTTATGTGAATTTTGCATTTAAATAAGGAAGATGGCCTATTTATCAGCCAAACGTTTTATTGCACAGGAGACTGACCAACCACCTCAATTGCGACATTTTTCAACCTGATATTCCCTACATTTTGGAAATCTTTGTATCTGAGGCTCGTCTCATGTTACCATAGATTTTACTGATACATTGTCATCGAAAATTTCGTTTTATTCTAATATATTAGCAATTTTGCAGTTTTCCTAGCCTGGATTTTTTTGTATCCTTAAAGTTCCCAACAATTTCGTTGGAATTGCCTGTTGTATCAAAAAATATTCCAAGTACATGGTTCAGACGCAAATTTTGTTCTCTAAAATATCATTTTGGGTTGGAAAGGGGGCGAAACGAGTAAATGTTATGTTAACCACATTGTAAAGCAAGAAATGTTTGATCTTATGAACTAAATAAAATTTAAACACGAGTACGTGTATATCTTAACCAAATTGTTGAACTGAATAAAATTAAACACTGAATGTGACAAATTTATTGGTTACCGGGTAAAATCTTGCTGAGTCCAGCCCACCTCCAATTCTCTCATTAGCTCAAATAATCTCATACGAAAGAGCCCTAATTTAGTAGTGCAGTCTTCACATTTTGTTTTTTTTTTGTTTTTTTTTTTTTCTGGAATTTCATTTTGAACAACCACCACTTGGAAGCTACATTGGTCAAGAGTAGTGAGAAATACTGCAATATTATCACACAAAAAGAGAACCTAATTATTCCAAGAAATATCACGTGGTTATCATATGCAGGCTACAAATCCCATCCCATCATTGAAAAGTCACAAGAAGTGAATCAGCATAACACAGCAGTCAACAAGATCGTCATGGAAACTGCATTCATCAACCACGATAACAAACTCGAGAAGTTGATTTTCAAGAAATGCTTTGTTCACATTCCTATAGTAAGAAAAGCTGATCAATTATACAAGTTGCAACAGGGTTGCTCCGCATCCCCAGTGATGACGTCGATGTTTCTCGTCCCCAATCAGCCAATACACGTTTTATGCAATGCCAGTAACAAAAACACGCGAACCTTGACTAATCAAAATGTAGAAGGTTGACTATGTAAAGCAAACACCCAAACACACATTTTACGGAAACCGTCCTAACTTTATTTTTCACTAAAACAAAGAAACATGTCCAAAAACTATCCCTTATTCAAACACAAGGCACAACTGTACACCGTCACATGCCACCCTCATGCCTGTTTTGACCACTGTATTCGATAATTCGAGAACTGAAGTCAGCTAGACAACAAGGTCTCAATACTATCAAACACATGCCCACATCAACCCATCGATCAATGTCACATCTGACATGCATCCCAAATTCCATCTTATGTACGACCAACGATACTGCCATCAAGTAAATCTAGCATCTCCATGCCTCGATTACTATCACATCACAAAACCAACCAATATCTTGTTTCATTCCTTCCTGATTCTATACATTGTCCGAACATCCCGCACACCTTTGGTCATGGGCATTGGTCAAGACATCACCTACGGTTGTTGAAATTGAATTATCAGATGTTTTAAATGATTTGAGCCATGTTTTTTAGAATGGAAGATGAAGGTTTTGGAGATAACGATGTTGATTCAGTTATGGAACATAACTATCCGCCTTCAGATAATGAATATTATGAAATTTTGTTTAGTTTGTAAATTATTGCCAATAATGGATTACTAATGGGCGAATCCAGCTAGTTGGACAACTTCAACATTTGTGCATTGGAATAAGACTATTTTCTTAAATATGTTTTCTGATTCCATTGAGTAATGGAATTAGACCGTAGAATTTTTTTTTTAAGCTACATTATGGAATGCTTAAAATTATTAGAAGAAATGTAAATGGTTTGTTATCAAGATACTCAATTTAGAGAAATTTAAATATTTGTGATTTCATCAATATTCTTATATCGAGAAAACATAAAATTTTTACAAGACTCGATAAAATTTTAAAATAACGTGCACTGTATGTTGACTTGGACAAGTACATGACAAGTATATTCAGGTACATGTACTTGTCCAGCTCTCAAGATCATCTTCTTGACGAACTGGAGCAATTCATTCAAGCACGCTTGTCTAACATTTGGAGAGGTTCTGAAACAAGCATCCTGTGAAAGAAACTTGATGACAAAAGAATGTTACAGAATTAAATTTGACCAGAACAAGAGCGACCAGAATGAGACAGTTCAAAAAGACAAGGTTTACGTGAATCATGTCAGTATCTAATGAGCATTAGGAATGAGCATGGTTGTTTCTGGTATAGAGCAATGCCCAGGAACAAAACTGAACAGGACTGGTCCAGTTTGGTTATTTACAAGATATGAGGTTTGATGATTGAGTTAGAAAAGGTGCCTATAAGTTCATATAGTTACATTTATGGATTTACCTACCAAACTAATTTAAATTTATTTTTTAAAAAATAAAAAAACCAGAAAGGTTTTCGGTTCAGTAAAACATGTTCTACATTTTGCCAACTTCGGGTCAGGCCTAATTAAACCGATTATGGGACTTCCTGGCCACACTTAATCATACTTTTATGCATACACACACATGCCCTTGCACATAGAAATACTAGGAGAGGAGAAGTAAATTCATGTTTTAACACCGTATCAGCTCAAATAACTAATCTGCAGCTTAGCATTAATAGGATGAAGGGACTTGGTTGATGATGTAAAACAAGGAAAATTCTGCAAAAGCAAACAAATTACCAGAGAAAAAAATATATATATATATAAATACAGGCACTATCGCGGGCTACAATCCCCAACATCAATTTAGTAAGGGAACTCTTTACTCTTGCTCAAAAAAAAAACAAGTAAATTCAACTTCACATAAAAAAACAAAGAGATTATTAAAAGATCATGAATTAGCTCTAATAAACAAGAAAACTAGATTATAGAAAGCCATAACAATTTACATCAAAGCAACATTCTTAGAATTTATAGGGACCCAGAATTCTAATAATTTTGATGTCTATGACCCTCATCCAACAAAGAGGACACAACAACAACACAAAACTTCAGAACCTGGCAATTCATTAAGTAGAACATAAGACACATAGATAATTGATTTCGGAGAAATGAAGCTAACAATACCATTATTCTGAAAGTATAATCACACGCAAATAATATGTAATATCACAAACTGTTAATAAGGTAACCAATTACATGGAAATTCAGTACAAACATCAATCAGTGACCATGACAGTGAATACAAATACATAATCTCTTAATTGAAATGGATAATTGCATTATTGAAGATCATAAATCAGAAATTGGCTTACTAAGAAGGTAACTTGCCGGCCCTGAAAATTGCAAACTTTGACGAGAGTGAATCTGAATACTCAATCTCATTATCCTTGAAGAAAGCCTCAATCATCCCCTTGACCCTCTCGGGCTCCAAGCTCTCACATTCGACCTCATACAAATCCCCAAATTCATACTTAACCTCATCTACCTCCAATTTCACCCCATTCCACTCATACACACTTCTCACAGTCCTGAAGCCTCCCAACCCCTTGAAACTGTTCACTCCAAATTCCTCTTTTACCCTCCTCAAAACCCTCGAATCCACGTCCATCAGCTTCCCAGGCTCTTCCAAACAGGCATACCCGATAGACGGATCCACCTCCTCCTCATCCTCCTCGACGCGGCTCACACCGTTGGTAATCACAGCATTGGCTTTGAGGCAAATGAAGCATTTGGGGAGGTCGGTTTGCTCATGAAACCGGAGGCGCAACACGGCTCTGTGTGAGCTCAGCTCGGAACCCAATCCGTCAAAGAAAGTATTATGCTGGTTGTGTGTAGTTATGCGAAATGGAGAGAGTAACTGAAGAAGTTTCTGGTGGGAAGCTTTGTTTGGTAACCGGAGCTTCACTTCAATTTCCATTGATCTCAAAAACGACCTCTTTTTTGGTATTATGTGATTTTTCTTTTTAGAAGAATGAGAATCAAACAGGGCTTAATTTTGTATTAAAAGTTAATATTAAAATCAAAACTAAAAATTATTATTTGTTGTGGAAGTTTAAACCTTTTTTAAAAAAAATATGTTACAACAGAACCCACAACGAGAACAATACATCTACATGTTTTATCAATTCCTTGAACCACAGCAATAACTTTGCATATTTCCAATCAACGGTGCAATTCAATGTAATGGTTTTTTCCACAAAATAGGATAGAATTTATGAATTCCATCGACTCCAATAACCTTATCCATCATTCAGATCAAATTCATAATTTATATTAAACTTAAAGCATATTCACGAAACCCATGCATGGATATCCAGCAGAAAATGTCCCAAAAATCACAACAGAGTTCTATCAGTAACTCAACTAAGCCAAACCCCCCAACAAAATTTTAAAATAATTTCTTATTTTGCAACATAGTCAAGAAACTCATAATAGGAAGACAACACAATCAAGAAACCAAAGGTCGAAAAAATAAAGATAAAAGTTAAAAAAAATCACAAACCCAAATAAAATAGAAGATTCAGATCAGAACTAGAATCAGATTCCCAATTGTGAAATTACAAAGAAGGGGTGAATCTGAGCTTACAGATTGTGGAATTGGGAGTGACAAATGAGGGAATTCCAGCCAAGAGAGGAGTAAAGATCAACATAATTTCTCAATTGTTTATCCTGACTTGACATCCATGAAAAACTACAACTATGCCTTCCACATTCCCTCTTTCTTTTCTCCCCCAATAGTACCTCCCTCCAAATCCCACATCTTTACAATTTCCTCTAGAAAACACAACTCCCTCTGAAGTTAAATTAAAAAAATTTCAGACAACAGAAAATCCCTTTGAACTAGAAGAGTAGCCTTTTTCAAGAACTTGATACGGAGGAGGGATATTAAGAATCTGAAATTCTAATGAGGTATTAATAAAGAATTGACAATACATGTTTTCTTTTGCAATGCACAGGATAGCAAAGCTAAAGCAAAAAAGAATCAAGCATTCTTCAGCCATTATAAATAGCACCATAGTAAATCACAGGAGGTAAATTAAGGGTTTCATATCTTACAAAAGCAATTTAAGATCACAAATAATCGATACACAAATCATGTGCAACACAATTGTATATTGTTGGGAAAAATGGGTGAATTGTATGTAGATATTTATCAATTAGAATAGTTAATTAAATGACATAAATATAATTCAATAATAATATAAAAATAAGAAGAGAGTAAGAAAAGTAAGTCTCGAGTTCACGTCAATGACGCTGTACTAAAATTGTGTTGTCTCTCCTTCATACGAGTTCTTTCGGTACTACACAACTCCAAAATAAAATTCATATGGCTCATAATCAGTTTTCCTTCTATAGGCATGATCACAGGGAGATAAAGAACGAGCTTCATATCAAGTTACCAAAAACTATAGAAATCTATTATACAATATAGATAGAGTATTCTGTTTTTCCTCATATCTCAAGTTATTTTTCTTAATGAAAGAACTCCCTTTTATAAATACTAGTCGCATGCCCGTGCAATGCACGGGCTGTGTTATTTTTTAAAGTAATATTAGTGTGTTTAGCGTTAAGGATTGATGAGAGACATGTGCATTAGATTGATTTGATAAGGTAAATTTACATTTAATGTAACTGTTTCGCGCGGGTTCGTCGCTAACAATTAAAAGGGATCAGACGATTGTGTAAGGGACAAACCTCTTGAAACAAAGTTCCAAAAAGGGGGTGTTCTTTATTGGCGATGACTTTACAATCGGAAATTAAAAATAGAATGCCTCCAAGGGGCGCAAGCACACGAGTTACTGAAAGAAGTGTTTAAATCTAAACTAAGAAATTTAAAATTACATGTTCTCTGTTCGAGAGTTTTTGATTGGGGTCCTCTTTTGTTCTATGTCTTTTCTTCCTTTTATACTCCCTGGATGATCTCTTTGTGATTAACCGTCTAAAAACTGCTTGATCGTTCTATAACTGCCCACTTTCCTCATAATGGTCAACTTGTCATGAAACTGCCTTTTTTAATTGCTGCCATTACTCTTCGTCGTTCAACCGTTTTCGATTGAATTCCTTGAATCGTGGAACGTGATAGGGCTACTTAATAACTGCTTTGATAACTGCACTTCTTGATAACCACAACACTTCATGTTTGCTAAGACCTTAGGCGACTCGAAGTTTTGGGCGAGAATAGAGCAGCAGTTCTGGGTGACTGCATGGCGCTTCATTCGCTCAGGTCCTGGGCGATTTGCAAGCTTAGGCGATGGTGTTACCGCGTTCCTGGGCTTCCCTATTTGGGCCTTCATCTTGAATTGTCTGATTGGGCTTCATTTTTTGGGCTATCTGATTTGGGGATCCTTCCTTTGGGCTTCATTCCTTGGGCTGTTCGATTCGGGCCGAATTTTTATGTGTCAACAATTACCCCCCAATATGGCAGAATTAATATCAATTATTAAATTTTGCCATATTCACTTTTGTGTTTCCAGCAACATTCGAAATTTTCAAGAATTTCAATCATTGTTTTCTTCCATAGCTTTGAAAGGGAGCGACGTTTTGCAAATCCTTATAACCTCCAAACACGCCATTTCACTGCACCATTAAATCACGCATCACTTTTTTGCGTTTCTCTCCCACAATTTACTGTTCATCTCTTTGCTTCCCTATTACATAACTCTGAAAAATTTCATTTCATCCCTAATGGCTACTTCACAGTCTCAATCTGGCGACTCCTTTAGTTTTGATAACTTTCAGAAACTCCTTAATCGTCCATACATAACTCTGAACTTTCTCGCATCCGCCAATGTCGAACTCAATGAGTTCTACCTAGATCCTTTCTTCAACAATGCAGAGGCAGTCGAACAAGCGGCGGTGGGCCAGCTGTTTCCTTGTACTCAAGGCCCTCCATTTCTAAACTCTCTGCCACTGGGACCACTTCGCGAAAGAGGTATTCGCACTTGGCCCAAATCTGACGTAGTTTTCCGTAGGTGGCATGCTCGCCTTGTGGACCATGGTCCTACAAAGGCGCTTTTTGATAATGCTAGGATTTCTGATTTGTTAGAAATCTCTCTTCAACCCCCTACTTTTGATTCAGCACTTTTATCGATCGCTTTAAGTTTTTGGTCTTCTGAATATAATACTTTTGTTTTCCCTCTTGGCTCCATGTCTATTACTTTAAGGGAAGTTGGGGCCCTAGTGAATCTGCCACCTTTGGGCGATACCATTTTTCCTGGTATCTTGGTTTCTGGTGGCGCCCCAAAATTTGATAAGACCCTCACCGAGTCTTATTCAAGTTTGCAAACCCTTCATAACCATTCGAGCGCTGAGCCTTCCCATACTGAGCGAGTGGCCTTTCTTCTGGTTTGGCTTTGTAAATATGTTTTGTGTGTGCCAAACATAAAACCCTCCCTGAGCTATTTACCCATAGCGCATGAATTGGCGCGTGGTAGGCCTCTGAATTTATGTTCTTTCTTTTTGGCTGCCCTCTATAGAGGCATGGCTTCTCTTCAAACTTAATTGAAGAATGGTGTATCTCCCGCTGGCAGTGGACCTCTTTGGTTTACTCAAATGTGGTTGAGATCCTATTTTTCTTTGCTTGGTGTCCCATCAATCTCTCGTCCTTCTGCTAGCTGCTATGGGCTAGCCATTGAGCCCCTGGCTCCTGTAAATATGTTTAGAAGGGACATTTTTTCATTCTTTTATTCTTTGGATTCAATCCCTTCCTTTTTTCCTTTTCCTCCCTTTTTGACTCCAGACTATGTGCATCCCCCCGACACTATAGACAGCGCGAGCAACTCTCTGCTCATTTGGATCCAGTTTTTAACCGGGAGGGAGTTATTTCATGGTATTTTGACTGGGACCAATGCCAAGGTAGGGGTAGAAATATATGCTCCCCAATTTTTTGCTCGCCAACTTGGTTTCGGCCAAACCTGGCCTGTTCCTCCTTGCTATACAAGGAACTTGATAGACCGCTTCCATATTATTAATAAAGCGGAGGCAGATGTTATAAATGCTCGCAATCTTCTTTTAACGAGCCATTTTTCATTAGCTCCTTTCAATTCTAGCCATGCCATCCATCCCCTTTTTGAACAACTCTGGCCGTCAGTGAAGCGCAGATTGTTTGCGACTGATGCCAATCGTGCCTTTCATTCACTAGACCAGTCGAGCATTTCTTCCCTTCCTCCTGTTTTAGTCACTCCTTTGTCTATCCGGAATCCTTCTCCTCCTCATCGCGCTAAACAGTCTGCTCGTCCATCTTCTTCTCTCCCTGCCAAGCCTACTGCAGCCAAAAGTGCCCTGAGCCGCAAACGGCCAACCTCAGCATCTCCCATTCTGGAGGATGATGTTGATAATGATGATGATACCCCTCTTATCATCAGGAGGAAGGTAATTAAATTGGTTTACTCACAAGCATACTTTTCCATACTTGAAACTTTTCTGTGTGCTGATGATTTATTTGGACTTCTCAGAAAAGTTCAGCCTCTCCTTTAAAGGCTTTGGTATCGGTAGCTCCTACTCCATCATCCTCTACTAAGGCTGCTTCATCCAAACCAGCTGATGAAGGGACTACGCTTAAAGAGTCATCTTCAGTCCCAGAATCCTCGTCACAACCAATGGATGAGCCACCTTCTTCCCAGGGCGTCAACCCCCCAAACATCGAAGCAGAAGGTAATTCATCTTTTTGATGCTTTACCTTTGCTTGTGCTATTGATTTCTAATTTGTTGCTTTTAAGTTCTGCAGGTGCTCCTATGAGTCTGCCCGTTGTAGCAACATCTTCTCGCTCTGACAAAGGGAAGTCCTCACGAATGGTGGAGCCACAGGTGGCAGACTTGGCTGAGGACATGCCATCTTCCAAGATTATTGATGAGGTAGTCTTTGCTTCACTTTTATTGCTAATTCATCTTGTTCGTGGTAGTGAGAATCTTCAATATTGGCAATTTTCTTCGCAGGATGCTGATAAGATTGTGCGTTC